TACTACACGTCATTGCACGTGATTTCGCATGAGTGGTTTATCTTGTGCCTACGGCACTCTACGATCTTTGGTGTACAGTTAGTGACAGGTTAACTGTGCATTGTCAGGTTAACTTGTGTACTGTCTGCAGTGCATGCGTGGTACGGTAAAAATACACGCATCGGATGTCCTGGTCGAACGGCAATTCTTGACGATTCCCGCGCTGGCAAACTTTTATTGTGGTGGAATTTATTCGGGGGGGGGGGAGTTTTCCCAAACGGGGCGCGCGCGCCCCGTTTGCGCAACGTAGGGAGAACCCTGCCCTGGTTCGATCAACCCTGACTCTGGCCTCAACTCTAACACTAACCATGACTCTGACCCTGACCCTGCCTCCAACCTAATCCTAACCCTAACCAAACGAAAATTTAACCTATCTCTAACCCAATCCTAACCCTATGCAATAACTCTCACTTTTCACTGGCCTTTGAAACATATGTATATGGAATGAGCTGCTGTATAGAAGAGCAGTCTATGATCTGGTGATAACAACAAGCCATATAAAAACACCCTCTTTGCCCAATGATACTATATAAAACTTCAACTCATAATAGAAGTTCTACGATACTAAAATAAACACTAAATAAATGATATCCAACACGGCCTTCACTTATGTCTACACTTAAAATAAAAACAAAACACAACATAGGTGGCAACTCGTCACAATATTTTTTAGTAAAAGTTTGTGTTACAAGAGTGTGGGCCAAGCCAATTGTGTTACACACGAATATCTAGCCATCTACCGTCAAGGACGGTTTTGCATTCTTCAATTTGAGACTGCTTGACATGAATTACATGTGTGCGTGTTTTGTCATCAACGTAACCAAAAAATATTGCAGCATCTTGAATGCGGACCTTCTCTGACAGAACTCCCAGCCGAGCGATTCGTTTTACATCCCCACCTATTCCATCTACTGCCCCTTTGCCATGAGAGGTGGCAAAGAAATGCCACACGGCAGTGATTCCTTTCTTTGTCAGATAGGCGAGGTTGCAAAACAGAAAACGCTGTTTGAACTGACTGGCAGCCCCATCAGAGAAGAAATGGACAGTGTTAAACACAACCTTTCCCTGTAACTCATTCAAAATGATCTCAATGAATGAATGGACGGCATATTTGTCATGAGAGAGATAATCAGTAACGAGGGCAAATGACAACCTTAAATTACATTTTTTTAAATGTCAGTCCGTTACGGTCAGTCCGTTACGCAAATTTTGTCAGTCCGTTACGCTGATTTTTCAGTAGATACCCCCATAGTGCTGTATATAAAATGAATTTTTTCATTATATTTAGATTTAGTAATGGTTGGAAACATAGAATATCAAGTGCATCAAATTTCTTCAAATCATTTCAGTCAAAGCAAAACTTTTTCTATCGTAGACCGTAACGGACTGACATGGTACCACACTAATTTTCAATTGACCACCTTGATATAATTTGGAGAGCATATAGCTATTTTACCATTCATATGTTCAGAAAACAAACCTAAGACAATAATAATATGCTAGTAATGTTTATCCTTTCTACACAGAATTAGAAAATACGACCAGAATGTATATAATGGTCAAAAAGTGAAAAAAGGCACTTCTGAAGGAAGGGGTTAATTTTCCCAAAAATGCACAAAACCAACTTATTATGTGAATAAAATTCCCAGAATTCACAAATAGAACATAATTTTCTTCAAGAAAACACCATGGATGACCATCTAGACTAACCTTTGAAAAAATACCTGAGGGGTGCACCTTCCCACGGAATTTCCCCTCTACTGAATAATTTTTGATTGCCAATGTAATCATAATCAGCAACTAACATGCATACGGTAGCTGCTAGCATAACTTACTTTGAAACTGCTGCGGGGTGGTTCAATGGAAAGCATCGACAAATTCTTGATATTTAGTTCAGGGCAGCTACATGCCTTCTTCCTGAAAGATACAACCAAATTATTGCACTATATAATTGACCAATTTGTTTTTCCCCCAACTATAATGTTGGATCAAGTAAGTTAGTAACACTCTACTTCTACACCAGAAACATTTCTCATTGCAAACAACAACAGCATCTATGCAGATTCCCCTCGCTGTGGCATCCATCCCCCTACGTACTACAGTCTACAGTCGATATGCAGACGTGTTATTAATTCACAATATGTTTGTTTTTATTATGGAGTGAATTTATTTTTGAGTGGTGTGCAGCTTACCTGTTTAATTTCCCCAAGCATGAGCTCTGCCTTGTCGGATGTCTCTGTTTATTAGCATCTACTTGATCCACCGCAGGGCTTGGCTTTCCCCCCGTCTTTCCTCTAAGCGCAGACGCTGCACGAATGAAGAATAAATACAGTGAGAACATTCAACAACACAATGTGTACATGGATTTTAAATATAAAATCGGGAATTTTTTACTTGTAATAACAGAAAGCTGTTTGATGGTGTAGTTCAAATACATATTCAGGCCATGCACGTTGCGGCGATGATGGTGATCATGTGGTTTATTAAAATTAAGCAAACCTGGGCATAACAGAATTATCTGGCTGGTGCCAATCAGCCCCCCGAATAATGAACTTACCGGAACGAGGTCGGGTAATCAGGCAAGGTCGAGAGCCAGTACGTCGATTCCAATGAAGTGTTGACAGTGGCTGGTGATGAAACGTTATCATGCTGGCAGGGGGGTGATGAATATTCAGCACTCGACCCAGAGCTGGGGTCGGCTTCACGCCAACTGCCCTCCTCGATGCTGCGTGGTAATGCGGACAGCTGTGGTGATGATGATAACGGTGGGATCGCTTGTGAACCAGGCTCCTCGTCACCATTGTGTCTGAGTTCACGTTGTCATCACGCGCGCTGCTCACCTTCAATTCCGGCATGCTGGCACTCCACAGATCAGAGTCCTCACGCTCTGTGCCTGCATCCGCTTCACCTGCGTTCAGATCGGCAGGTAGGAGAGGCAAATCTAATTCAGGCTGACTCTGCGACATTTCCGGGACTACATGTGACTGGTCCACGCAGCTGCAGGTACCAAGCTGGCAGCAGGTTTCCATGTGACATTCACTATCGCAGCTTGGATGAAGCCAATTCTTTTGTATGATCGTGTCGTTGCCTAGTGATTTGCTGGAGTGGTCAATAGACAGCGCACGACTAATTTGGACGTGCTTAATTGGCGCACTCACGCTAACCGTGCTGTCGTCGCTACACACTTCGACTTTACTGCTAGAAGGCAGCCCACAATTTTCTGTTAGCGGGTTCACGGTTATATTGCACTGCGATAAACTCCTCACGCTCTGCCGGCCATTGAAAGACACATTCCTCTCCATTCCTTTCTCCTCTATTGCAGCATCGTGCGTTAGCGACGTAGGTCTTTCCAACTCTTTATTAAGACTCTGTGAGAAAGAGCCTTGGGTTAAGTCGTGCAACTGTGACTCGTTAGAGAAAAAAGGAAATTCTATCATAGAGAAACTATGCTCATCCAGCTGAGGGGTCTGTGGAGTGTCACAGCCTGCCATACTAGGTTTAATGTCATCATCGCCCCCCATCTCATCAATGCGTCCATCAACTAAATTTTTTCTTCCATCTATGTTACTGCTTTGCGACAGACCCAATGCATCAACACTCCGGTTACGAATCTGTGAAGTGGCTAGGAGTTCAGGAGCTGTAACGGAACTGTGTGACGAACTCCCATTGATGTTAAAATTTTTGTCACTGTCTTCACTTTCCTTCCACTCCAAGGGACGCATCAGCGCTCCAGCTACACAGAGATGGAGGTAGATACCACCAAGTAGTAGCAGCGTACCGTGAAAGCCGTACTTTTCAAGAAGCCATTTCGTCGCCGGTGCGAAAATGAAGCAGCCAATGCCACTGCCACACGTCGCTAGTCCTGTTGCTAGCGAACGCTTCTTTTCAAAGTAGAATGCCACGGATACGATAGCAGCTATATAGATTGGTGCAAGCCCAAGCCCCGAAATCAAACCCAATGTCACACACAGCATCTCTATGTTGGGCGCAAACGTGCTCAGAATGAATCCGCAGCTGGTTACGAGAGCGCCACCTATCATTGCGTTCCTGCATCCGTACTGCTCTACGATAGGGCTGGCGATTGGGCCTGCAAGCAGAGGGATCGACACATACATGGAAACAACAAATGCGGTCTTGCCACTTCCTTGCTGAAACATCTGCAACATCTCAACGTACAGGATGCCAAAAGAAAATGCTGTACCATCTGCCACCAGGTGTGTCAGGAAAGAAGACAGGACGATCACCCAGCCCCAACCACCATCTGGTGCTGGTGGAAAGTCACTACTGTCACTGCTAGAACTAGACTCAATAGACTGGTCACTCAGTGACCTTTTAATTTTATTACCAGCTTCTCCCCATTCGACATGTTTTGGGATTTCATCACCGCATATTATCCCTGTTCTTTCATTTGTAGACATGTTAATTTTCTTCTGCATTATTTGAGTGTTTACACTGGTGTCAGCTGCATTCTCCACAGAGATGGTATTTCCCAGAGATAATGTCGGGCTATTTTCTGGTTTCCTCGGAGAGGATGACATTATTTCCGTATGAAGACTTCTGAAATGCACACTTACACAGCACTTGCCACTCTTAACCACTCTCAATTATGAGAGTTAGTTTACCATGGAGTTCTAAAGACTTCACAGAATTCAGCTAATTTTTTGCTGAAATGTTGATGCAGCTGTGGTAACGCTTGCCTTTGTAGTCTCGCCAGCGTTTCTACCATCTGCAACATAAACCATCGATACACCCGTGTCATCATGAACTAGTTCAACTACCTACATTGAAATAATACTTGTCTGCACAATGTCAATGAGTTATCAAGAGTATAGATAACATAACATAAGTGTTATATTATCTACTCTTGGAGTTATGCAATGACCATAGAAATAATATAGGTAGACTATAGTCTATAGCATGACACAAGTGCTCAACCGATCAGCTGACTGCATGACACTATTACGAGTATTAGTATTATGTCAGAGTCAGTCTAGTACTAGTAGTAGTACTGCTGAGAGGGTCTATGTCCCCCAGGGTAGGCCTACTGCCGGAACGTACCCTGCTACTAACGACTAACGTAACTTACTAACGCTGAGAGGGTCTATGTCCCCCGGGGTACTGCCGGAGCGTACCCTAGGTACGGTTCGGTATACCGGAACGTACCCTGGTACTATCTAATATATGCCAGACCGTACCTCGCCTACTCCACTACCGAGTCTAGGGAGTCGCCTACGCCTACCCCCTAACCCTAATCCTAACCCTAATCCTAACCCTAATCCTAACCCTAACCATATCAAATAGTGACCAGGTACGTTCCGATATACCGGACCGTACCCGGGCCAGGGTACGGCAGTACCCTGGCCTGGGGGACATAGATGATAGACCCTATGTCTATGAGTATGACTATGAGCCTGACTATGACTATGAGTATGAGCCAGGGGCCATAGTTGTTATACTAACTTAGCTAGACTGCAAACTTTACTTTAGAAAATCACTTCAAAAACCATTTCTGGATGCATGGTTGAATCCTACCTCGCTTGTTTCAGAATGTCCACGGATGTTTTCTCTTCTATTGCTATCATTCGACGGATTTTGAACAAGTATCACACTTACGCTACGCTTCGACATAGGGCCCCTACATCAATGTCCGTAAATCGAACCAGTATCGCAGTACGCATCGTTTATCGCAGTACGCATGATCCATAGCAACCACGGCGCTACGATCGCGTGGTGACGCTGCTGTTCTGATGTTTTATGATTTCTGGCGCCATTTTGGGGTCTTGTTTCAATCAATTACATTATGGGAAAATTGAGAAAAAGCTGCTTTCATTGAAACAAAAAACAAATTTATGACTTCACTGGGACACAGTAGAAACACGCCCACCCTCCTGCCAGTGCATGGAGCTCCTACCATAACGGCCAGGCACCATATCATTCAGAATCAGTTAGAACATATAAACAACTTTAGGCATTCGCAAAAATTGTCTGCTGGCCAGCAAAATATACTAATATGTATCTATGCATTCATAATACATTAGTATAATATATAGGTTCGTATAATAACATCATTGTTTTGGTAGAAGGCATGCAGACACGTTACAACTGCGCTGAGAGGGTCTATGTCCCCCGGGTACTGCCGGAACGGTACCCTGGTACGGTCCGGTATCCGGAACGGTACCTTGGTACTATCTAATATGCCCGGACCGTACCTGCGCCTACTCCACCTAATGAGTCCAGAGAGACATGATTACAAGATTTGCGTGAGCACAGCTTTGCTGTTGCATTCCTGAAGCGCTTGCGGCGCGATGAGTACGCGCAGTTCCGCGGGATATGCGCACGGCTGACCGCGGGGATGTTTCAAGCATGACAGCGCTGTCCGCAGGTGGAGACGTGCGCCAAATTCGAGGCCGCGTGCGCACGTCTCCACAGCGGTCAGCGGAGTGGTCTGTACGTTTTAGCAAGAAGACAATGATTATTATGTGACTATTATTTCCTAGAATTAGAGGTTATGATAATATAATGATTAAAAAGCGCTCAGTCATGCTCGAGATTAGCCACAACGTTCCTTTCTCCGCTTAACACTACATTGGCTACTGTTCCTACGACGTGTAACAGTCGGAGACCCGTCGGTTTTAGCTCCCGATTAGCTGAATCAAAAAGCATTAGAAATTTAATATATGAACAGAAACAAGATATAATTAGTTATATAAAATTCACAATACAAAGAAAGGATCGAGGTGATTAAGTAGGCAACCAAGTATAAAAAAATTACGGCAAATATTCATACCTAGGGGATTTAATATATGGTAGGTTATACACCGCTATGATAGCGAGTCCGAAACTGAAAAATCGTATTAATTATTATGAATTATTATTAAATAAAATCATTATTGTTATGTCTCGCGTCGTAAGTAACTATAATCATTTAATTGTATATGCGTTTAATGTGGTTTAATAACTCAAACAACAGGTTACAACTTAAACACGGGCAATCACCAGCAGCCGCGAGGCTGGAGCTGGCCACAAAACGTCTACGCGTTAGCTCGCCGCTGCTTAGCAAAGTGCCAGCCACAAGGAACCGTTACGCACGACTGCGTGTTGTTCGAATAGACCTACTGACTCGAAGCCATTTATGGCAAGACAGCTTGTGCCGTGAAAACAATTAATCACATAGCGTGATTCGTATCAATTATTATGGGCCAAAGAGCCCAAAATTGGGAAATCATACATAGAGCAGAGTGTAATTATGGAATACCAAACTGTTTACTGATATGACGCGCTTGTTGACTTGCGATAAGCGAGTGAAAATGCAGAATTTTCTTCCTCTTTGATGCGAAATTGCATCGGCCGGGCGATTGTCATTATTTACCGAAAAGTCAACGCGGCTTGCAGTAGTACAGGAGTCAGGCCTCACGTCGCTTGACGCCCCCATTCATGCCAATCAACAAATAAGGCGGCGGCTATCGTGCTCACAGATATGCGAAAATAAAAGAAAAAGAACTTAGCACTCTGCGCAAAACAGGTGTTATATTCGTATTTGGGCCAAACTCTATCTGTTATGAAACCGTTCTAGACCTAGCAGAATGCCCTAGTTTGCCTGAGCATCGGCGATTCCGTGTCCGATGATATTGTTACTACAAATTTTTGATCATAAAGGGGCGGCGTGGACTGTGCATTGAAGACAGCAAGTGTCAATCCTCGGCTACGCGCCTCGGATCATGGCGGCGTTACGTCTTAGGGAGTCGCCTACGCCTACTGCCTAACCCTAACCCGAACGCGAACCTTAACCCTAATCCTAACCCTAACCATATCAAATAGTGACCAGGCGGTACGTTCCGGCCAGCTTACCCTGGGGCGACATAGACCCTATACTGTCCCTTTAATTATTGAAAATTTGAAGATAACATAATGAACATTAATTAACATGATTAACCATAAGCAGTCAACATAATAAGAATTCATTTAAAGTTAATTTTAACTAAAAACAAAAAGTGTCAATGTTGGATTTCTTGTCGATGTCAGAGTACATTTTTCTCCAAAGATGTTTGAAAGCACATTTTAAAAGTGCACTTATTAAAAATGCAATTTGGAAAGTACATTTTCTGGAGAAATGCCTTGAAAAATGCACTTTTTGATGGAAAGTACATTTTTTAAATGCACTATAAAAAAGCAATTTTGGAAAAGTACATTTTTTTTGGAAAAATGCATTTAAAAAATGCACTTTTTAATGGAAAGTACTTTTTTTTAAATGCACTATAAAAATGCAATTTGGAAAGTACATTTTTCGGAAAAATGCATTTAAAAAATGCACTTTTTGATGGGAAAATACATTATTAAAAATGCACTTTTTATAAAGCATTTTGGAAAGCTACATTTTCTTGGAGGAAGTACACTTTGAAAATGCACTTTTAGGTAAAAATGCATTTACAAAAGCATTTACCCTAAAAGTGCATTTTTTCAGGCCAAAAAATGCATTTTATTTTGACTAGGGTATGAGCTAACTGCACATCACAATCGTTAAACATGAGGTGACTTTACCATAAACATAGATACTAAGAAGATTTTTATAGATACGTGTAACATTTTTGTTGTCCTATGTGGATACCTACCTGGTACGTCTGATGAGTGAGGAATGCTGCCGAATGCCTGAGGGCAACGACCGAAACTACACTATAGCACCTAGCAACCTCACTACTTGCTCAACATTTGATATAGTTTATAGTATAGTATGTACAATGTTATGTTGGACCACAATTGGAAAATAAGTGTGCTTAGCCACGCTTGTTAAACACGCTTTTTTGTGTTTTCATCCTCATAATTTTCTAGCTGCATTTTGTTTATTTATGCTGTTATCGATGTATTATGTATGCTTTAGTAATTATCGAAATAAATAAATAAAAAATAAAAAACATAGCAGATGACTTCCATACCTGCTGTGTGGCAAGAGCTAAAAAGACAACAACGCAGAATATAGTATAGGTATATTAGTTATATTAGTATAGGTATATAGGCTAATTTATGCACGGCTTACATTCAACTAACGGGCTAACCCATGACTTGAAGGGATTGTTTCTGTCACACACTATCTGCGAATTCTTAGTAGCATCAAGAGTAGATCAATAAACATTGTGTTATTATTACTCTTGTAGCCATGTTATCGCCGCAGTTGCCGATTTACAAGCGTGTGGACTGAACCAAATACCCTTGCGTACGGGTACTACTATCTTTTGGGGTAGTTATGCTACTCCAGACCTTAAAATGGCGTCAAAAAAACGAGCTGAGCCCGCGGGAACGATTGAAGCGACCTGTGATGGCCAACATTCTATCAAAAGGTGTCGCGCTTGTTCTCGCCGGTGCTACGATCGATTCGCGTTGAGAAGAGTAGTTGTCTGAAAACTTCTCGTTCCATCATCGACATCATGTCTTTAAAGAAGCTTAGCATCGATTCTTTGAACCTTAATGGGAAAAGAGTGTTGATGAGGTGACGAATTATCTTGGTATCAATGATATTACATTCTTCCATCAAGTTATTCTCGGACAGGCAGTCGTACTTCTTTTAACCTTGACTCTTTATGCGCATTGTACTTTGTAGTTTTGACTTTTGTACTTTGTACTTTTGTAGCTCATATGCCCGTCTATGTCCCCCAGGGTACTGCCGGAACGTACCCTGGTAACTATCTGATAGGGTTAAGGCCCGTCTCCACACACGCGGCACGACACGACACAGCAAAACGCAGCGCCGTTGTGCTGAAAAAAAATACATTGTGATTTCGCGCATTGTGTCTGAGCGCGTTGTGATTGTGTTCACTCTGGTTCAGTGATCAGAAATTATGCATGTGCTTGTTGTCCATTGGCTGATGGTAGCGTGAGCAGAACACGTGATAAAAAACAATCGCGTTGATTGGTTCAATTGTCTTTTCGCCGTCACGTCAGTCGGCAAAAGTCAAACTCATTTGACTTTCGCCGTCGCCGTGAAACCCGGCTCGGGCCGTGCCGTGTCAATGGAGACTGCGCCATAAGATATAATAGATTTGAACTTTGCCGGTAGGGGTGAACGACGCCGTTTCCGTGGCGTTCCGTGCCGCGCCGCGTGTGTGGAGACGGGCCCTTAGGGTTAGGGAGTAGGCGTAAGCGACTCCCTAGACTCGTTAGTGGAGTATAGTGGTAGTTAGTTAGTGGTACTTTCAGATAGTTAGTTAGTAGGCGAGGTACGGTCCGGCATATTAGATAGTACCAGGGTACGTTCCGGCAGTACCCTGGGTGACATAGACCCTCTCAGCCGCATGCTCGGCCTAGATTCACATTCTTTGATATTGAATTTCAATTAATAATCGCAAGGTTTTTAAAACGATTACGGGATTAGTACCATCATTACTGTATTATCCAATTGTTTATGCTATAATAGTACACGAGATATGCCACAGTATTATCAGCTAGTGTGTTAATAATACTAGGTAAACAAACTTGGGTTATCGCATATGGCATTGGCAGGTTATGCTATGCCATTGCTAATCACTATCACTAAAGCACGAAGGGTCGTTGTCATATCAGGTACTACATATATGTACCCGAGGTAGTTTTAGGTTGTTTAGTATTATGTTAATATTTTTATATGAGGTATGTTTAGGGTTAGGGTTAGGGTACACTTCTGTAGTACAAGTCTGGTACACTTTGTGTATACATATATCAGGGTTCTGCCCACGGTGGGCGGCAGTGGGCGGGTGTGCCCGGCACTCGCGGTTGCCGCCCGGCACTATAAACGAGTCGGTTATCTCCGCCCGGCACTAATTGCCTTAATTCCGGGGGACCATGCCCCCGGACCCCCCTAGATTGGCTTCGCGCCTACAGTGCTTGCATCTTGCGACTTTGTCGCAGCTGGATGCGCCCGGCACTAAAAAATCCTTGGCAGAACCCTGATATATGTACCTCTGGTACATATATATTTAGTACCCGTTACGACAACGACCCCTTCAGCATCACTATAAATCAGTGACAGTGTCTGATTCTGTGGTGGAGCAAGCGCTGTTGTTGTGTGTACTAGTTTAGGCCTAACACTCATCCCTCATGTAGCAGGAGTGTTACCAGAGACACACACAGTATCGCACATTCTGTCTTGTATCTTGTATCGTACGTGGCTCCCTCTCTTGTATTTCACACGGCACTCGATTCAACAAAGTGCAGGGATTATCTAGAGAAAAGGGAGATTAATGCCACCTCAAATTCTCTAGATATTAGTGTTTCGAATCAACAGAATTTTTCGCACATTTGCTAGCACCATCCTGCCTCTTTCTAGAGAAGCCCCATTCATTTTCCTACAGCATTTGCATTGGTATATTTGCATTGGATTTGGATTTGGGTCATCAAATCCTACCAATACCCCGTGCGTGTGTAGATCTTCACCTAACAAATGTAGTCCTTCTCTGTCTAACTTGCTGCGCAGGGTAAATGACTACACATGTACGTATATAGACTTACAACTATCAAGCCTAAGGCTAGTCTTTAAATTATAATATATGTGATTACTGCAGTGGATCATATTGTACGCAAGGCAGCTGATTACTGATGATTAGCAGGTCCAACTATAAATCTAGAAATGGATAGGTTACTAAAATTTGATATTGCACTGTTAATTGCAGAGTGGACTTCAATGTGCCACAGAAGGATGGAAAAATCACAAACAACCAAAGGTATGTTGAAGGTTCTAACATAACAAAATTTAGTTTCATTGATCGAAACCTCTAGATACCTAATTGACATTTCTGTTGTGACATGCATATAGACGATACAGTTACTATATAGGTTATTATGACTGGTATCAGTGGTTGATGGTCCACCTGGACCAGTGAGAGAAAGGGATCGCATAGCAGAGTAAAGTAACCAAATAGGATGAACCAAGTTTACTAGGAAATTCTATTTTTCCTCGTGCAGAATTGTGGCAGCTCTTGACTCCATCAAGTACGCACTGGACAATAAAGCAAAGAGTGTTGTGCTGATGAGTCACCTTGGCCGTCCAGATGGACAGAGGAACGAGAAGTTTACACTTGACCCAGTAGCTAAGGAACTGCGCACGCTCTTGAAGCGGTAGGTAAAGCTGAGGTCCATGTCACAGAAATTCTCACTAGCTCACACCAGCTTTATCTAGTGTGTGGAAGTATTCTCTGTCTGCTTGACTGATCCACCTGAGGAAAATATCACTGTTACTTTTGGCATGTAGATTGTTAGATCAGTCAAGGTAACCAAATTTCTATGTGGTTCCTGGGATAATGTCTAACTAGCAGCACTTACCTATGAAGCAAACATTGTTTTTAGAATGTCTTATTACAATGCTGATTAGCTAGTTTTGCCTGGCGATCTAGCCAGATTGATGCAGCAATTGCAGTTTTCTGACCATTTGAAGTTTAATCAGGCCTAGTCAATGTCGGATCGGGATGTATCACATGCATCATGTAGTTTATACATTTGTAAATGTGTGTAGGGACGTGTAGTTAATGAGCCATGAGCTTTCTGCATTATATTTAATCGAGTGTTTTCTATGTTGCTCTGTGTAGTCTCATGACAGAGTGTGTGTGTGTGTGTTTGGGTAGGGATGTACAGTTCCTTAAGGACTGCGTTGGTGCTGAGGTGGAGGCCGCTTGTGCCAACCCCGCGGCCGGTAGCATCATACTGCTGGAGAACCTGCGCTTCCACATCGAGGAGGAAGGCAAGGGCGTCGACGCATCCGGAAAGAAGGTGAGACGGCGGGGCGAGGGAGATGGTGAATTATATGGGGAAGGTGAGACAAGCACGGTGGGTGTGTTGAGAACAGCTCAGCCATACTAGTCGGCCACTCAATAATTTATGAAGCTCAATTATATCTACCAAAAGAATGATGTGTTTATTGGGTGAGCATGTGTTGGTCTGAGTGCTTGCATAGTTTGGCAGAAGTATGTGTAAGATCTTGTGGAATTGTGTATGAGTGTGTGTGTGTATGAGTGTGGGGGTAACCGTGGCGTACTGACAGAGTAAGTCTAGTGAAAGAGGAATGTGTATTTTACAGGTGAAGGCAGATGCTGCCGCTGTTGATGCCTTCAGGGCTTCCCTGTCAAAGCTTGGTGATGTTTACGTAAACGACGCATTTGGAACTGCCCACCGTGCTCACAGGTAACCCCACCACAGTCTATAGCAATGAATATCGTATGGCTACTCGTTAAACAGTATGTTTTAAATAACAGTAACAGTATATTAATACTTGTTTAAAGCCTCTGGCCCCCATGATATAGGAGGGATAAGTTGGGTGTAGTAATTCGTTTCGTGCTAGGCTAAGAGTTCAGTTTAACAGTTGAAGGATTAAGATTAAATTCTCGTGACAATTTATTATGTAGTTACTGAGTAGTTGGTGATAAAGATTTTATGAATACAAGAGTTGCATTTAGGAATGTGAGAGTAAGTCTAGGTGTTGTACACGCGACGGCATCTAATCTTTGTTTGTGTTCTGTTTGCCTTCGTTGTTTCTAGCTCGATGGTTGGTTGCAATCTGCCTAAGAAAGCATCCGGTTTCTTGTTGAAGAAGGAACTGACGTACTTTGCCAAGGCACTGGATAACCCTGCTAAACCATTCCTGGCTATCCTTGGCGGGTAGGTGTCTTAGTGTGGTTTTTTTTTATTCCTCATAATCTATTTTGGTGGATAGCGGTTCTTCTGCTGCTTCAGTAGGTGTGTTGTATCAATGCTTTGTTGTTATCCTCCGCACGTAGTGCAGCGGAGGATATTGTTTTCGTGCTCGTTTGTATGTGGCGGTGTGTGCGTGCGTGCGTGCGTGCGTGCGTGCGTGCGTGCGTGCGTGCGTGCGTGTTCGCTCGATATCTTTGCAACTGTAAGAGGTAGACACTTCAAACTTGTCCACATGTGCATCTTATGGAGCGCTGGAACCCTATGGATTCTGAGTGACCTTGACCTTATTATCATATAATAATTAAGTATATTGTCATTAAGTATATTGTCATTAAGTATATTGTCATTAAGTATATTTCCAATGCTGGGTCATAGCGGAAGGACCATTGCTAATGCGGGGTGGGGCTTCCAGGCAGTATTTCCAGGCGGGTTGTGTGTGGCAGAGTGCGTTCACTGCGCTGTAGAAGAAGCCAGTTCGTAGTTATGCATTTAGCATGCACATTGCACATTTGTAGAAAATATCACAGCAGGGTTTCTTATACATATAAGGCACAGTGGCGCACCGCCGTTGTCAAATTTAACATCGCCGTTGTCAAAATGTTTCTGTATTTAATGATAAGTATATCCTGTATCTATATACCTATAAGTATATCAATACATCCTGTATTTGAATCCATAATGTGCATTTTTTCCCCAAACTGGCCATTACCTCTTTTGTCTAATTTTTCCTCAGAAGAAACCCTGCACAGGTGTAGTGATCGCGTATGCGGAGGGTTCGCACTCTCCGAGTGCCTTTCTAGTTTAGCATTTGTTTTCATGAGCTCACAATCTGTTTCCTGAGTGAGGTTATTTTTGTACAACGACAAGTTGTTTCCGTTATTCAGTTCTGGCTGTCTCCATTTTGTCTGAACTTCGTCTGGTATTGCAGAATATTTTGGGAAGACGATACAGACTTGGGGGGAAGTGGCCATATAATGTTACTGTAGCTAAAATGTTAACTAATACACACACGTAATATTTGATCTGTAATAAACTTGTAGAGCTAAGGTCAAGGACAAGATTCAGCTGATTGACAACATGTTGGACAAGGTGCACGAGATGATTATTGGTGGTGGAATGGCCTACACCTTCCTTAAAGTTATTGATGGCATGAAGGTCAGTCAGTATACACTCCTCACACAACCAATCATGGTATTCGTATATCGAAAGTTGCAACGGATGGATTTCAAGTGAAATGATGAATTCATTGATTGAAACGTATTCGTACTGTTCATCGAGGGACTAATATAATTTACATTGTAACAAAGGGCTTTCAATTGTGATGTCAAAGATTGAAGAGGGTATTGCGAAATGTGTCTCCGTTCAGTTCGATTTGCTCTGTCAAGTATGGGCTGTTGAGTTTTATGGTTGTTGGTCCATCCTTACTTTGGGGATGAGGAGCGGAAGGTGATTTTCGAGAAAATGCTCGATCATCATTGTTACCCGATAGCTATGATGAGCTCGTGATCATATAATAGCTTTCTCATCTTGGTAGACTATGTGCTTTAGGCGCTGAACGTGAGTATACCGTACTGGAGCTTTAAATGCCATGCACAAATGTCAGAGGGGAGCAGAAGTTTAGGCATGCTCAAAGGTGGAGTTTGGTGTATGCACCGATATTATTCTTGTGGCTGTTGGATAGAATCTATAAATACACGCTGCTAGTTTCAGATCTATATACATATATATATATTTAGCGACAGAGAGCGTGAGCGAGACCAGTACCCTGGGTACGGTCCGGTATACCGGAACGTACCCTGGTACTATCTAATATGCCGGACCGTACCTCGCCTACTCCACTAATGAGTCTAGGAAGGCGCCTACGCCTACTGCCTAACCCTAACCCGAACGCGAACCTTAACCCTAATCCTAACCCTAACCATATCAAATAGTGACCAGGGTACGTTCCGGCAGTACCCTGGGGGACATAGACCCTATACTGTCCCTTTAATTATTGAAAATTTGAAGATAACATAATGAACATAATTAACATGATTAACATAAGCAGTCAACATAATAAGAATTCATTTAAAGTTAATTTTAACTAAAAACAAAAAGTGGTCAATGTTGGATTTCTTGTCGATGTCGAGGTTACATTTTTCTCCAAAGCATGTTTGAAAGCACATTTTAAAAGTGCACTTATTAAAAATGCAATTTTGGAAAGTACATTTTCTGGAAAAATGCATTTAAAAAATGCACTTTTTGATGGAAAGTACATTTTTTTTAAATGCACTATAAAAATGCAATTTTGGAAAGTACATTTTTTTGGAAAAATGCATTTAAAAAATGCACTTTTTAATGGAAAGTACATTTTTTTTAAATGCACTATAAAAATGCAATTTTGGAAAGTACATTTTCTGGAAAAATGCATTTAAAAAATGCACTTTTTGATGGAAAATACATTTATAAAAATGCACTTTTTATAAATGCATTTTGGAAAGTACATTTTCTTGGAAGAAAGTACACTTTGAAAATGCACTTTTAGGTAAAAATGCATTTACAAAAGGCATTTTACCCTAAAAGTGCATTTTTTCAGGCAAAAAAATGCATTTTATTTTGACTAGGGTATGAGCTACAACTGCACATCACAATCGATTTAAACATGAGGTGACTTTACCATAAACATAGATACTAGAAGATTATATAGATACGTGTAACATTTTTGTTGTCCTATGTGGATACCTACCTGGTACGTCTGAATGAGTGAGGAATGCTGCCCGAATGGCCTGAAGGCAACGACCGAAACTACACTATAGCACCCTAGCAACCTCACTACTCGCTCAACATTTGATATAGTTTATAGTATAGTATGTACAATGTTATGTTGGACCACAATGGCACAATGGAAATAAGTGTGTTAGCCACGCTTGTTAAACACGCTTTTTTGTGTTTTCATCCTCGATAATTTTCTAGCTGCATTTTGTTTATTTATGCTGTTATCGATGTATTATGTATGCTTTAGTAATTATCGAAATAAATAAATAAAAAATAAAAAACATAGCAGATGACTTCCATACTCTGCTGTGGCAAGAGTAAAAAGAGAACAACGCCAGAATATAGTATAGGTATATTAGTATATTAGTATAGGTATATAAGTAATTTATGCACGGCTTACATTCAACTAACGGGCTAACCCATGACTTGAGGGATTGTTTCTGTCACACCTATCTGCGAATTCTTAGTAGCATCAAGAGTAGATAATAACACATTGTGTTATTATCTACTCTTAGTAGCATGTTATCCGCGAGTTGCCGATTTACAAGCGTGTGGACTGAACCAAATACCCTTGCGTACGGGTACTACTATCTTTGGGGTAGTTATGCTACTCCAGACCTTAAAATGGCGTCAAAAAACGAGCTGAGCCCGCGGGGAACGATTGAAGCGCCCTGCTGATGGCAACCATTTTCTATCAAAAGGTGTCGCGCTTGTTCTCGCCGGTGCTACGATCGATTCGCGTTGAGAAGAGAAGTTGTCTGAAAACTTCTCGTTCCATCATCGACATCATGTCTTTAAAGAAGCTTAGCATCGA